CTCCAGGGCCAACACGGGGACACATCCCGGCCTCCAGGGTCAACACGGGGACACATCCCGGCCTCCAGGGCCAACACGGGGACACATCCCGGCCTCCAGGGCCAACACGGGGACACATCCCGGCCTCCAGGGCCAACACGGGGACACATCCCGGCCTCCAGGGCCAACACGGGGACACATCCCGGCCTCCAGGGCCAACACGGGGACACATCCCGACCTCCAGGGCCAACACGGGGACACATCCCGGCCTCCAGGGCCAACACGGGGACACATCCCGGCCTCCAGGGCCAACACGGGGACACATCCCGGCCTCCAGGGCCAACACGGGGACACATCCCGGCCTCCAGGGCCAACACGGGGACACATCCCGGCCTCCAGGGTCAACACGGGGACACATCCCGGCCTCCAGGGCTAACACGGGGACACATCCCGGCCTCCAGGGCCAACACGGGGACACATTCCGGCCTCCAGGGCCAACACGGGGACACATCCCGACCTCCAGGGCCAACACGGGGACACATCCCGGCCTCCAGGGCCAACACGGGGACACATCCCGGCCTCCAGGGCCAACACGGGGACACATCCCGGCCTCCAGGGCTAAAAAGAGAGCTTGGTACAAAAGGATTAAAAATGGGGAGGTCACTTTAGAACAGGAATTCGTACAACTGGTTAGAAATGTTAAAAAAGAGATAAGGAAAGCAAAAAGAAACTATGATGTTCGCATAGCAGGGCAAGCAAAGACAAATCCTAAAGGGTTTTTTCAGTTATATCGTACTAAGACTAGGGAAAGGATAGGTCCATTAAAAACTGAGACAGGTCAAATAACAGATAGTGATGAAGAGATGAGTAGTATTTTTAACAAATATTTTGTATCTGTATTTACTAAAGAGGAACTTAACAATATGCCTTCAGCCGAACAAGTCTATGTTGGTGGGGACGAGGACAGGTTGACGAGTTTAGCAGTTACCAGGGAGGATGTTCTTAAACAAATAGTAAAACTCAAACCAAACAAATCCCCAGGGCCGGATGAAGTGTTTGCTAGGGTGCTTAAAGAATGCAAAGAGGAGCTTTGTGACCCACTGTCAACCATATTTAATAAATCAATAGAGTCAGGCAGAGTGCCAGAGTTTTGGAAAGTTGCTAATGTGATACCAGTTTTTAAGAAAGGAGATAGATCACTTGCGTCTAACTATCGACCAATTAGCCTAACGTCTATTGTGGGAAAGTTACTCGAATCTATAATAGCAAATAAAATTCGTCTTCATCTTGAAAAACATAAATTAATAATTGAGTCGCAACATGGTTTTATAAATGGCCGTTCATGTTTAACAAATTTGTTATCTTTTTATTCTAGCATTGTTGAGGCAGTTGATAGTGGTAAGGATTGCGATGTTGTATACCTTGACTTTAGCAAAGCTTTTGATACAGTGCCACATGAAAGACTGATTAAAAAAATAGAGTCTCATGGTATTGGGGGTGCTATATTAAGCTGGATTAGGGCATGGCTATACCAAAGGAAACAGAGAGTTAGTATAAATGGAATCAAGTCAGAGTGGGAAAATGTTGTAAGTGGAGTGCCTCAAGGCTCTGTCCTGGGACCTCTGTTGTTTATAATATATATAAATGATTTAGATTCAGGTTTGAGTAGCAACATTTGCAAATTTGCCGATGATACGAAAATCGGTAGGGAAATTAATTCGGAGGAGGACTCACTATCACTTCAAGTTGATCTAGATAGGGTTTTGAAATGGTCAAAGGATTGGCAGATGCAGTTTAATGCTGATAAATGTAAAGTTCTGAGGTTAGGTAATGATGATAGAGTTACAAGATACGAGCTAGATGGTGTTGTGATTGCGAAGTCGGATTGCGAAAGGGATCTGGGAGTTATGATTAGTAAGAATTTAAAACAAAAGGATCAATGCATAAATGTTCGTAATAAGGCAAATCGGACACTTGGATTTATTAATCGCAGCGTTAGTAACAAGACACCTGGTGTGGTTCTCAAGCTATATCTTGCTCTAGTTAGGCCCCATTTAGATTATGCAGTTCAGTTTTGGTCGCCATATTATAGAATGGATATAAATTCACTTGAACGTGTCCAGCGTAGGATGACTAAGTTAATTCCCCAAATTAGAAATCTTTCATATGAAGAAAGATTAACAAAGCTTAAGTTGCATTCACTGGAAAGGCGAAGAGTTAGGGGTGACATGATAGAGGTTTACAAGTGGATGAATGGACATAACCGGGGGGATATTAATAGGGTATTAAAAGTATCAACACAGGACAGAACACGAAACAATGGATATAAATTGGATAAGTTTAGATTTAGGAAAGACTTGGGTAAATACTGGTTCAGTAACAGGGTTGTTGATTTGTGGAACCAATTGCCGCGTAACATTGTGGAGGTGGGGTCCCTCGATTGTTTCAAGCACGGGTTGGACAAGTATATGAGTGGGATTGGGTGGTTATAGAATAGGAGCTGCCTCGTATGGGCCAATAGGCCTTCTGCAGTTACCTTTGTTCTTATGTTCTTATGTTCTTAACACGGGGACACATCCCGGCCTCCAGGGCCAACACGGGGACACATCCCGGCCTACAGGGTCAACACGGGGACACATCCCGGCCTTCAGGGCTAACACGGGGACACATCTCGGCCTCCAGGGCCAACACGGGAACACATCCCGGCCTCCAGGGCCAACACGGGGACACATCCCGGCCTCCAGGGTCAACACGGGGACACATCCCGGCCTCCAGGGCCAACACGGGGACACATCCCGCCCTCCAGGGCCAACACGGGGACACATCCCGGCCTCCAGGGCCAACACGGGGACACATCCCGGCCTCCAGGGCCAACACGGGGACACATCCCGGCCTCCAGGGCCAACACGGGGACACATCCCGACCTCCAGGGCCAACACGGGGACACATCCCGGCCTCCAGGGCCAACACGGGGACACATCCCGGCCTCCAGGCCCAACACGGGGACACATCCCGGCCTCCAGGGCTAACACGGGGACACATCCCGGCCTCCAGGGCCAACACGGGGACACATCCCGGCCTCCAGGGTCAACACGGGGACACATCCCGGCCTCCAGGGTCAACACGGAGCAACACATCCCGGCCTTCAGGGCTAACACGGGGACACATCCCGGCCTCCAGGGCCAACACGGGGACACATCCCGGCCTCCAGGGTCAACACGGGGACACATCCCGGCCTCCAGGGCCAACACGGGGACACATCCCGGCCTCCAGGGCCAACACGGGGACACATCCCGGCCTCCAGGGCCAACACGGGGACACATCCCGGCCTCCAGGGCCAACACGGGGACACATCCCGGCCTCCAGGGCCAACACGGGGACACATCCCGGCCTCCAGGGCTAACACGGGGACACATCCCGGCCTCCAGGGCTAACACGGGGACACATCCCGGCCTCCAGGGCCAACACGGGGACACATCCCGGCCTCCAGGGCCAACACGGGGACACATCCCGGCCTCCAGGGCCAACACGGGGACACATCCCGGCCTCCAGGGCCAACACGGGGACACATCCCGGCCTCCAGGGCCAACACGGGGACACATCCCGGCCTCCAGGGCCAACACGGGGACACATCCCGGCCTCCAGGGCCAACACGGGGACACATCCCGGCCTCCAGGGCTAACACGGGGACACATCCCGGCCTCCAGGGCCAACACGGGGACACATCCCGGCCTCCAGGGTCAACACGGGGACACATCCCGGCCTCCAGGGTCAACACGGGGACACATCCCGGCCTTCAGGGCTAACACGGGGACACATCCCGGCCTCCAGGGCCAACACGGGGACACATCCCGGCCTCCAGGGCCAACACGGGGACACATCCCGGCCTCCAGGGTCAACACGGGGACACATCCCGGCCTTCAGGGCTAACACGGGGACACATCCCGGCCTCCAGGGCCAACACGGGGACACATCCCGGCCTCCAGGGCCAACACGGGGACACATCCCGGCCTCCAGGGCCAACACGGGGACACATCCCGGCCTCCAGGGCCAACACGGGGACACATCCCGGCCTCCAGGGCCAACACGGGGACACATCCCGGCCTCCAGGGCCAACACGGGGACAGAGTTGGCCAACTTTTTGCATCCAACACAAAATTGAATTCAGCTGGTGAGAAAAATTCTCCAACTTGGGACCCGCTGGGAGGAGGGAAGTCTGCTCTGGTGTGATGTATTTCTTGTATAGAATACAATTATAACGTTCTTGTTGTTACTGTGTTGTTTATGCCACCGGTGTTGCTACAGCTGTAGCGTGAGACACACACAACCATTGTGGTAAGCTGGCGAGCCGCCTCCACCTTGTAAAGATTAGTTTAGGTCCTGGTGTATTACTCTGTAATGTTACTTGTTCTGGGTGAGGACTTGGAGCACAGTCACGCTCATGTTATGTGGCTACTTACACATGCAACACTGACGCCACAATATGTAAGTGGCTACTTACACATGCAACACTGACGCCACAATATGTAAGTGGCTACTTACACATGCAACACTGACGCCACAATATGTAAGTGGCTACTTACACATGCAACACTGACGCCACAATATGTAAGTGGCTACTTATACATGCAACACTGACGCCACAATATGTAAGTGGCTACTTTCACATGCAACACTGACGCCACAATATGTAAGTGACTACTTACACATGCAACACTGACGCCACAATATGTAAGTGACTACTTACACATGCAACACTGACGCCACAATATGTAAGTGGCTACTTTCACATGCAACACTGACGCCTCTTAATTGGTCCATATGAGGCTAGTCTTCCCAGAATATATGGACAATCAAGCCAACTTTCTGACGCTAACTCTGTGAGAGGCGTAACGAGCAGTGAGGCTGCCCAACACGCGAGTGTTCCCAACGTCAAGAAACTCTCGTACTAATGTGCCTTATCCTAACCAGAGGACCCACGAACAGAAAACGGGACATTGTCAATTTCGCGAGCCGCTGCCATTTTCTAGTGAGACAGGTTTTGGCCTTAGGTAGAGTGTACGTCAAAATGCGACGTGCTGTTGGGAGGACGGGATGCAAGAGGGTGACCGTAGGGGCCAAGCAGTTCTGTGGTGGGTATGTGGGCCTGCGGGCCGCTCCAAGCAACAGCCTGGTGGACCAAACTCTCACAAATCAAGCCTGGCCTCGGGCCGGGCTTGGGGAGTAGAAGAACTCCCGGAACCCCATCAACCAGGTATCAACCAGGTATCAACCCGTCATAACAACCTTGTTCCCAGCCTGTCATAATAACCTCATTCCATCCTGTCATGGGTTTTCCTCTAATTGCAGTACTGCATATTTCCATAATGAAGTTCACCTCTCTCGTCTCCCAAGCTGTGATTTACAGACTCCTCCTCAACAAAAGTCTTTGTTGCTTTGAGGCAACAATACTCACGAAGTTACTGGTGAGGTGATTATGACACTTGAATTTCCAATTTTGATTAGGAAACAGCGGCTCCTTTCCCACTGATTCCAGGCCATTATTTCGACAGCGGCTCCTTTCCCACTGATTCCAGGCCATTATTTCGACAGCGGCTCCTTTCCCACTGATTCCAGACCATTATTTCGACAGCGGCTCCTTTCCCACTGATTCCAGGCCATTATTTCGACAGCGGCTCCTTTCCCACTGATTCCAGGCCATTATTTCGACAGCGGCTCCTTTCCCACTGATTAAAGGCCATTATTTCGACAGCGGCTCCTTTCCCACTGATTCCAGGCCATTATTTCGACAGCGGCTCCTTTCCCACTGATTCCAAACCATTATTTCGACAGCGGCTCCTTTCCCACTGATTCCAGACCATTATTTCGACAGCGGCTCCTTTCCCACTGATTCCAGACCATTATTTCGACAGCGGCTCCTTTCCCACTGATTCCAGACCATTATTTCGAATAGAATGAATTAAAATAGTCCCATTACAGCACCATCGATGCTTGTGGATTTTTTATTTTGATTGTAGCCGCCGAAGGCGGCTAGTTTATTGTGCACCCCATACTCATCCTGTGAGCGGTAGCGCAAAAGCATTACAGAGGGCACAAAAGGTCTTTATCAGACCTCATCTTAGATTAGTACATAAACAATTTCTTCAATCCTTCACACCTTATAGATACAATGTCAGCTAGTTACAGAGAAAGTGCTATTACAAGAGCTACATATTTACAGTAAGTCATCATACATTAATGGTAGGTCTTATCGCTAATACATAATAGTTTGGCCAATGGGGATATTACAGAGTCATAGGGGAGCTTCTGTTTATTATTAGTCCTCACAATACACTACTTGTTTCTCGATTCCTGCATTGTGTAGAACGCAGACTAAAGCTGCCTAAGCATCCCTCTACTGACCTTATGTAATAGATGTTAAGCTACTGTGGCATTAGACGGCACGGAGATCCCCCGGATGATGACAAGACGTGTCCACATACTCGCACACACACACACTGTTACAGGGGCCAGTGGCTGAATGGACAGCACGCTGGACACGTAAACTTGTGGTCCTGGGTTCGATTCCCGGCGCCGGCGAGAAACAATGGGCCAGAGTTTCTTTCACCCTGATGCCCCTGTTACCTAGCAGTAAATTTGTATCTGGGAGTTAGACAGCTGTTACGGGCTGCTTCCTGGGGATGTGTGTGTGTGGGGGGAGGGGGGGGGGAATAAATAAATTAGTTAGAAGTTAGTAACAGATGATTGATTGACAGTTGAGAGGCGGGCCGAAAGAGCAGAGCTCAACCCCCGCAATCACAACTAGGTGATAACACGGAACGCTTCATAAAACTCTGGGAAGATCAACCCTTCAGAGCATGTGAAGACGAATTGTGTGAGGTAAGTCTGTATGTTCAGCAACTCTCACAAAACATACATCTATACATTTACAAGTATACAGGCATACAAGCACATTTCAAATCAAAACTGAAAAAAATACTAAAACCTATAACGAGTTCCTTGTCGCAAACCCGGAATCAGAACGTGTAAACTCCGTCTGGGGTTAGCAGGATAAACAGCGAGGATAAGGAATACTCACAGTCGGGTCCGTGTGTGTGGTTTACCTTGCATTTCCCCGCCTGGTGTATACTAATGGTAACTCTCACTCAAAGTTTACTGATGTTTATGGTCAGTGTCTCCCTCCTCTACTGTTTGTTCCTCCTAGTGACGACTTGTAATAAGTGCCGTAACTCACACTGCCTCACTCATACTGACCCCTCACTCACACTGTGCCTCACTCATACTGACCCCTCACTCACACTGAGCCTCACTCATACTGTGCCTCACTCACACTGAGCCTCACTCATACTGTGCCTCACTCATACTGAGCCTCACTCATACTGAGCCTCACTTATACTGAGCCTCACTTATACTGAGCCTCACTCATACTGTGCCTCACACATACTGTGCCTCACTCATACTGACCCCTCACTCATACTGTGCCTCACTCATACTGACCCCTCACTCATACTGAGCCTCACTCATACTGTGCCTCACTCATACTGACCCTCACTCACACTCAGCCTCACTCATACTGTGCCTCACTCACACTGAGCCTCACTCATACTGTGCCTCACTCATACTGTGCCTCACTCATACTAACCCCTCACTCATACTGAGCCTCACTCATACTGTGCCTCACTCATACTGAGCCTCACTCATACTGTGCCTCACTCATACTGACCCTCACTCACACTGAGCCTCACTCATACTGTGCCTCACTCATACTGACCCCTCACTCATACTGAGCCTCACTCATACTGTGCCTCACTCATACTGAGCCTCACTCATACTGTGCCTCACTCATACTGACCCCTCGCTCATACTGAGCCTCACTCATACTGTGCCTCACTCATACTGACCCTCACTTACACTGAGCCTCACTCATACTGTGCCTCACTCATACTGACCCCTCACTCATACTGTGAGTCACTCATACTGACCCCTCACTCATACTGAGCCTCACTCATACTGAGCCTCACTCATACTGAGCCTCACTCATACTGTGCCTCACTCATACTGACCCCTCACTCATACTGAGCCTCACTCATACTGTGCCTCACTCATACTGAGCCTCACTCATACTGAGCCTCACTCATACTGAGCCTCACTTATACTGTGCCTCACTCATACTGAGCCTCACTCATACTAAGCCTCACTCGTACTGAGCCTCACTCATACTGAGCCTCACTCATACTGAGCCTCACTCGTACTGAGCCTCTCTCATACTGTGCCTCACTCATACTGACCCTCACTCATACTGAGCCTCACTTATACTGTGCCTCACTCATACTGACCCTCACTTATACTGACCCTCACTCATACTGTGCCTCACTCATACTGAGCCTCACTCATACTGAGCCTCACTCGTACTGAGCCTCACTCGTACTGAGCCTCACTCATACTGAGCCTCACTTATACTTTGACTCACTCATACTGTGCCTCACTCATACTGTGCCTCACTCATACTGACCCTCACTTATACTGACCCTCACTCATACTGTGCCTCACTCATACTGACCCTCACTCATACTGAGCCTCACTCGTACTGAGCCTCACTCATACTGTGCCTCACTCATACTGAGCCTCACTTATACTGTGCCTCACTCATACTGACCCTCACTCATACTGAGCCTCACTCATACTGAGCCTCACTCATACTGTGCCTCACTCATACTGAGCCTCACTCATACTGAGCCTCACTTATACTGAGCCTCACTTATACTGAGCCTCACTCATACTGACCCCTCACTCATACTGAGCCTCACTCATACTGAGCCTCACTCGTACTGAGCCTCACTCATACTGTGCCTCACTCATACTGTGCCTCACTCATACTGAGCCTCACTCATACTGTGCCTCACTCATACTGAGCCTCACTCATACTGACC